TGGGGCTTATAATAAGAAAGCACTTTGAGTGCTCAGCAAAAGCAGAAAAGTGCTGTAAGTACCATTCCCACCAAACACCATCCATCAGTTTAATGGACTAAATCCGGTTAGTCAATCATCAGTCTATGAAAAGCCTTCCATTTGCATGAAAAGTTAGGTTTTTAGGTTGTTGCAAGCATTTAATTGCAAGAATTGGTTACCACTGTTGCCTCATAATAAGAAGGTTTTTGGTTTAGACCAGGGGTGGGGGATCTCCAGACCTCAAGGGTCCTGCAGTTTTTAGATACGTCCTTGATCCAACAAAGATTATTTAAATGGCAAAATGACCTCCTCAACATGTCTTGAAGTTCTCCAGTGGCCTGGTAATGTACTAATCATTTGAGTTAGGTGTGTTGACCCAGGGTGATATCTAAAACCTGCAGGACACCGGCCCTTGAGGCCTGGACTTCCCCCACCCCTGGTTTAGACTATGCTGCCAGCTGAGGGCTTTCTGTGTGGAGTGTGCATACTGCATGGACTTCCCCCCACAGTCAGGATACATTCTACTGAGGTTAATCGAACCTCAATGTGATTCAAAAAATTTTATTTGTTCGTCTTTCAGCCTTAACCTTGTGATGGAAGGACAGCAAGTACAGTGTGATGTCTAAAAGATATCTAAATAATACATACAGTTCAAAGTTAAAACCAGGTTAAAAGTTATGTTTTAGTAGTTCATACTGTTAATGTTAATACCTGTGTCATTTTTTGCCTCTGGAAATGTGTTTGTTACATCACTGTGATCAGACAGCCATGACATACACTCAGTGGTGAACTTTGTAGTAAGCGCCTTTATATAGTTAAAACCATTTGTTCCAACAGGCCAGGCATAGCTGGACTGGCCATCGGGCATACCGGGCATTTGCGTTTGATTTTTCGTTTTTATGGGCCGATGTTTTTTTTTGTTTTGTTTGTTTTGTTTTTGTAACGGCATGAACAATGAGAGGTGGTGGATTGGCCAGATGCTGGCTGATGTGTAAAAATAACTCAGTTGTTTGGTGGTGGCTATGGCGGGGCTTCCACAGAGGCCAGCAGGTGGATGAGG